TTACTCCGTAAAATCTAGCTGTGTAAACGATGGTTGATTTGAAATACTGAATGTACAATGCAGCGACGTGAATTTTGAGAGGAAATTTACTCCGTAGACTTTTTTTTCTATTTTGAAATGTAGTGGTGAACAATGTATCAGTGATATTCTTTGGGAGGAAATTTACTCCGTAAAGTGTAGCTATGTAAACGATGGTTTCTTTGGCTTTGAAATACTGAATGTACAATGCACCGACGTGAATTTAGAGAGGAAATTTACTATGTAGATTTTTGTTAGAACTAATTTGCAATGTTAGTAGTGAACACTGTATCAGTGAAATTCTTTGGGGGGAAATTTACTCCGTAAAATCTAGCTGTGTAAACGATGGTTGATTTGGCATTGAAATACTGAATGTACAATACACCGACGTGAATTTAGAGAGGAAATTTACTCTCTAGATTTTTGTTTATAACAAACTGTAATGAAAGTAGTGAACACTGTATCAGTGAAAAGCTTTGGGAGGAAATTTACTCCGTAAAATCTAGCGATGTAAACGATGGTTGATTTGGCATTGAAATACTGAATGTACAATGCACCAATGTGCATTTAGAGAGGAAATTTACTCTCTAGATTTTTGCTATTTTCAAATTGTAATTGTTGTAGTGAATACTTTATCAGTGATATTCTTTGGGAGGAAATTTACTCCATAAAATTTTGTTTAATCATGGATAGTCGCATTTGAATTGACTACTGAATGTTAACTGTATCAGAGTCATTTTTGAGAGGAAATTTACCCTGTAGATGTTTTTCTTTTTAAAATTTTAATGTGGTAGTGAAAACTGTTTCAGTAATAGTTTTTGGGAGGAAATTTACTCCATAAAACTAGCTATGTAAATGATGACTTGCGTTCTTTTAACTTTTAGTATTTGCACCAATAAATATCTTGTAAACTGTGTTATTTGTTGAGTTTAGTCAATACCTAAGGGCAAAATGCTTAAAACAGAAAAAAAGATTTTCTGTTTTGATTTTGGAATGCGTTATTTATGCTTATTTTGAGGTCATTATATTAAGACTTACTTGTCTACAGACTTTTTTTGCAATTTACAACACGTACACATTATGTATAGCCAATCGAAAAGGGATACTTACTCCAGCATGATACCTGTTTCCACCTGTTATGTTTTTTATGCTGCCTGTTGGCTGTGCCACCCACCGAGTAGTATTTTTTAAAAGATATTTTTAGCTTGATTACCGTTCTTTATGTCAATATTTCATACTCAAGAGCGCTAGCATCTTCGGGGTACAATCAATTTTAAAATCGAGGGAGGCTACCATTTTAAGTTGACGGTAAAATTCCTTCAAAAACTTCCTATCAAATTATCTTTTCGTAGATCTATGGTCGTTCATAATCTTGCAAACAAATACTAGTATCATCTAACATTAGATCGTATAATGTCTGACTTGTTTTGTCTTCATTTTTAGGCCTTGTTTGCAAACGTGGTTTGAAATCTGTACGCATACGGGTAGGGTTTACGGCGAATGTGTCCATTCAATAGGGGATGCTTTATCCTTCTAGACGTTTAATTCAAACTCTAGAATTTCTAGAAGTCCGCATTTTATGCCCTAATTACAGATTTATATCTTTTGAAGATTAATTAGTGAAGGATATGGAGATAACGAACAGCATTCAATATAAAAGTCCACAAAACAATTCAAACTAAGAACAGAAAGCAATTACTACTTGTTTTTCTTCACCTTCAGTTTTCAGTTTTAAACTCATTTTGATTTAAATCATGAGATTGTCATCATTCAGTCTCTTCCTTCTTGTGTTTTACATAAATGTTTGATTTTTAATTTGATCCAATCAAATTTTTAATGTATGTTTCTTCGTAGGATAATGCGTAGTAAATTTTGTTTGAATATAAGGTCACCCCAACGACTGATTAAGTGCGTTTAAAGCGACACATTTTAATCTAGAAAAATATCTTTGTCTCTCAGTAATCCTGGCAGAAAAAAAAATTTAGATTTTTTTTCAAGAGACTGTACAAAGCTATTTACTAAGTAACAAGAGACAAGTATCATCGAATAAAAAATACAAATCATTAACATAAAATTCTCCCTATTTCTTTTTTAACCAAAAAATAGAAAATAACAATCAAAGAACTAGATTTTTCGACAAAAAAAAACCCAAATCATTATTTCTGAAAACACAAGAAGGTTGAATATTTTTTGTGACGTAAACATTTGTTATGTGAAAAATATGATTTGTCCTATACAAAGGTTTCCCCCTTATAAAATCATATATGCGGGTTTGGTAAGGCGGGACACGGATTAGAATTCGGCGATTTAACACTTTTTTTTTAAAAAATAATATCTAACACTAATAAATCAGGAAAGGCATAAATAAAAAATTTGCTATCATTATGCATACTATAGACGTCAATGGGACTTATACTACATGAAGCACTTCACCATGACATCACCGCGTGAGGACTATAATTAAAAAAATATGCCTTAATGAAAAAGTGAAAAGTTCAACACTACGTCGGGGATAATTACGCAGGTATGTCAAGGTTACAATCAAATATTATACTTGTCTATATGATATGACGTCATGGTAAGCTATATGACGTGAAGTTTAGAGATAAGAATTTCTCAAATTCGAAAAATCATTTCAAGATCGTAAAAATGAATTAAAATATGCAGAGGCATAATATGAACGGTCTTTTATCGTTTCTGGGTGTCTGTAGTTATTACAGGGGTTAAATACCACACATGACGTCATAACTGTTGATTATGCAGTAGGAGAGTAAAAGTGAAACGTAACGAGAATTCATGTAAACAAACACAAGAAATCGGAAGTTGAAAGCATTTAAAATGAATATCATGTGTGATTCATATGGGAATAAAGCTTATAGATAAGGTATGCTAAAATAATTCTACAATTTCTTCGTAAAACTAAAGCAGGGAGGGTGTTTACTTGCCGATCAGCCTTTCCTATGTGGTTTGTAACAAAAAAGATGTAAAAGTTCTAAACTACGCCGCATACTTTGAAACTTAATTCTTGTTTCTCTCAAAAGTTCTTATTCTTTTGTTTTTGGAAAGAGCTGCTAGAATCGTATGATTTATGAGAGTTGATGAATTTTTTCGATGTTATAAACAAAATGTAAGAATTTTGGGAAGGTTTTGTCCGAAAGTGATGAATAATTATTTCTGTGAAAGGACAGTAGGATTCTAGCTGCACTTTTCATGGTACAGAGATGTTTTTACATAAATGTTATTACAAATTGAAATTAATTATCCCCGGGGTAGTGTTGAAATTTTCACTTTTTCATTAAGGTATATTTTCTAATTATAGACGTCACGTGGTGACGTCGTGGTGAAGTGCTTCCTGTAGTATAAGTCCTATTGAAGTCTATATAATGCATAATTATAGCAAAAGTTTTATCCTTCATTTTTCCGAATTATTAGTGTGACATGATTATAAAAAAAGTTTTAATTCGCCGAATTCTGATCCATGTGCTGCATTAACAAACCCGCACAATTTCAATTTGTAATGATAGTTATGTAAAAACATCTTTGTACTATCAAAAGTGCAGCTAGAATCATATTGTCCTATCCAGTTATAATTATGCAACATTTTCGGAAACCTTACGATTCTAGCAGCACTTTCCATAAACAATAGAACAAGAACTTTACTTAGAAACAAAAATTAAGTTACAAAGTATGCGGCTTAGTGTTAAACTTTGGCATCTTTTTTGTCACGAACGACAGAGGAAAGGCTGATCGGCCAGTGAACACCCTGCCTGCTTTAGTTTTACAAAGATATTGTATAAGTAAATTAGCATACCTAATTCATTAGCTTTATTCCTATATGAATCACACGATATTCAATACAAATGCTTTCAAACTCCGATTTCTTGTGTTTGTTTACATAAATTCTCCTTACGTTTCATCTTTACTCTGCTACTGCATGATCAACAGTAATGACGTCACGGGTTTCGTATTTAACCCCTGTGATAACTACAGACACCGATAAATGATAAAATGCCTCTGCTTATTTTGATTCATTTTCACGACAACAAATCAACCTTAGATATCGATTTTAAGAAATTGTTATCTCTAAACTTCACGACATATAGCTTACTCTGACGTCATATCATATAAGCAAGTACATGTATAATATTTGGTTGTAACCTTAACATACCTGCGTAATTATCACACAAAATCTGCCACATTTTCCAGATACATGCGTTTTTATTTCACGAAATTGTTGTTTTTTTCTGCCCTAACAAAAAAACTATAGTTAACTATAGTTTACAGATTTTTAAAGTGTCAAACTTTTTACCGAAATTTTTTAAATTGTAAAATTTTAGATAAAGTTTTTCAAAGTGTCAAAGTTTTTCAAAGTGTCAAAGTTTTTATCAAAGTTTTTCAAAGTATCAAAGATTTCGCCAAAGTTTTTCAAAGTGTCAAAGTTTTTCAAAGTGTGAAAGTTTTCGCCAAAGTTTATCAAATTGTGAAAGTGTTCGCTAAATTTCTCAAAGTATCAAAGTTTTCGCCAAAGTTTTTAAAGTATAAAAGTTTTCGTTAATGTTTTTTCAAATTGTGAAAGTTTTCGCCAAAGTTTGTCAAATTGTGAAAGTTTTCGCCAAAGTTTATCAAATTGTGAAAGTTTTCGCCAAAGTTTTTCAAATTATCAAAGTTTTCGCCAAAGTTTTTAAAGTATCAAAGTTTTCGTTAAAGTTTTTTCAAAGTGTGAAAATTTTCGCCAAAGTTTTTAAAAGTGTCAAAGCTTTCGATAATTTTTTTTTCAAAGTGTCAAAGTGATCAATATAGTGAATCAAATTTTCAAAGTATCAAAGTTATAATTATAGTTTACTATAGTACATCATTTTTTTAGGGTGGAACTTCAATTTTTTTTTGTGCAATTTTAAACTTGATAAAAATACTTTTAAATGGTTTGAAACACGTTCAAATAATTTAAGGAAATGTTATCTTTTTGTGGTTTTCATCTATAGGTTTGAAAGAAGAAGATGAAGGATTATTTACATGTGAACTTCAGAATAACACGTCTGCAAAACAACAAAAATCAGTGTCAATAAGCGGTATAATAGTTGAGAGCGTATAATGCACTAGCTTAATGTAACTCATAGAATGATTTGTGTTATAGAGAAATAATTTTCATATCGTGTCTTTAAACGTTTATTATATTGTAAATACAAATTTACAAGAATATACAAATGTAATTAAGTTGACGTATACATGTTTTTGGGTGAATGTAAATACTTTAAGTAGTATTTTTTTCTTATAAAATTTAATTTTTTGTAAATTTATTTGTATATAAATTATCAAAGAAAAAAAATTGAATTTTACATGATGTTTTTAATTTTACTACTCGACTACATAATTAAATTTGATATGATTCTAGCTTTTAGTATTATATTTAGTTGAAATATTATTTTAGTTGAAGGCGCAGATGTGACAGTTAGGACAACATATGTTAAGTATTTTTCCGGAACAAAATTGGACAACACATCGATCAATCCTACAGTGGACGTTAATGAAACCAGTTCTGACAAAACACTGCAGCAATACGAGAAAATGAAACCGTATGAAAGTCTTTTAAATATTCAATATTTAGTTTTTTTATTTTCTTATATATAACCTTTTGAATTTTGCCCAAAGAATTCATTTGGTTTTGATTTCAAGAATATGTTCAAGTTAGATGATGAGACATTGATTTTGAAACTCAAGAGTATAATGTTTTATTCTTTTGGCGGAATTTTAATCTTGTTAGCTGTTGTTTCATTCATTGAATACGAAATTTCTGCCAGAAATAAAAAAAGCATACAAACAGACATTTTTCTTCGAATTCATATTTTGAGGACGAATCTACACATATCAGTTTAATGAATGATCACAAAATGGTCTAGAAAAGTCAATTAAGGGCAGAGAATGCCGTTCAGTAACAGTAAAGTAGACTATTTGTCAATCGTCACTAAATGGTATAGATTCATCCGACGATAATAATGTTTAAGGAACATATTTAAAATTAAAACAAACACCATAAAAAATTACAATTTTATAAAATCAACATTATAGAAATAATACCAAAAGCTGTGTAAATGCCCCCCCCCCCCCCCATTTATATCTTCTATTTTATTTTGATCCTTAAAGTGAATTCAAATTTTCAAATTTGAGAACATATATCCCATTAGAAAATAAAATTCTTTTCAGTAGCCAACTGTAAACAAACTATCAGTCGTGACATTCAATTGCAATTAGATTGTTTGCAATATATTTGCAACTATTGATTTCCGCGATTGAGGCAACATTCTTCACTAATACATAATTTGATTCACAACAAGTATTATTCATGTAAAAGAAGGTCGTGAAACCCGCAGATGTTTCTCGGTCAAAAATAAAAATTTGTTTATATAATTATGTTTGAATTAAATATCATGGGAGAATTTAGACATTTGTGACAACACACTTTGAAAAAATTACGCACTTTGAAAAAAATGTTTCAAAGTGCATTAAATTTGGGACCAACTCAACGCACTTTGAAAAAAACTTTTCAAAGTGCGTTAAGAGTGTACATCAATATATTTTGCCACGGAGACACTAAACGCATTTTGAAAAAAAAATCATATTTTAGTCATGGAAAGATTTTATTTGTTATTTATCTTTCAAAAAAACTAAGCCTAACCCTAACGTCAAAAATGAATTGATTTACTCCCGTCGAAAAAAGAAGACTGGTTTAAGATCCCTCAGTCCAAATCTTTATCTTTCCAATACATAGATGTCGGTAACAAACAGGGGAGGGGAGCAATAAACCTAAAAAGGGAATGCTGCATTTTCAATGCTTATTAGATGTATATATCTTTCCAAAGTAAGTGGGGGGCTAAACTCCTATCTCCTCCCTTGGCCCTTCGCCTTGTCACAATGTCTATGCTATACTCAAAGCATACATATAATTATGTATTTATCTAAATGGTATGACGTTGAAAACTTTCAATAATTAATGAGTTAATTAAAACAGATGAAACAAGAAATTTTTAAGTACAGTAAAACGTATGAGAGAGAAAGAATTTTCACAGTTTTGAACAATCAATTTTCCCCCTTTTTATTATGATAAATGCTAAGTTGCTTGAAGCTGTCCTCTATTAGTGTCCCCTATACACCTTGACATCTTCTTATCAAAGACTAGAATTAAAAGAAAAAGAAGAAACGAATTAATGAACTTAAACAATCGTCACTCTTTTCTCAAGACCCCTTTAATTTTCCCTTTTATTTTATCAAAACCTTAAACATTTAAAACGTCAATATCTCAGGTCCTACAGTGACTTTATCATAAAAAAGTTATGAAACCAGGATCTATTATTTATCATATCGATTATTTGAAGGAATATTGATCAATCTTTTCTTTTAATTTCAAAGTGCATTAATATGGTCGATATTAACGCACTTTGAAAAAATTTTTTTTTCAAAGTGCGTTAGCTTGGTCCCAAATTTTAACGCACTTTGAAATTTTTTTTCAAAGTGCGTAATTCTTCAAAGTGCGTTGTAACAGACGTAACATATTAGTTCTTCTAATGAAATGTTTTCCAGTTTATACTACTAAGTCATTACAGATACATTAACTTATAGTTTTTCTTATTCAGGTCGATTCTAAGTGATGAGGAAAGCAGCACTTCTACAACACAGATCCAGAATATAGATAGAAATACAACCGACACGAGCATGTATATGGAAAGTATCACAGAAAGCAACCTAGAAAAGGGAAATGATTCTGTGTCTATCACCAACGACACCTTCAAAGACAACAAACTAACAACACAGACTAATGTTGTCTCTTTCGTGGAGGGCACGACTGCATCACTCGAAGGTTATTATCTATATATAAAGCAAAGATACATGTAGTCTGTTTTTATTCACATATTCATATGGAGAATTCCGTAAATAAAATAAGCTGAACATTTTAAAATTTTTAAGAAGTAGTCAGCATTAAAAAACTATTAAAGTATATATAAAGCATTCCTTAGGCCGATATTTTTAAAATATTCAGTTTCGCAAAATATATTGTGAAATGAAAATTTAACATTATTTTATCATACATCACTTTTAATACATAAGACAACAATTACGCAGCACAACCAAGGTTACAAATGGAAATATCGGAGATTTTTTAAGATAAAAAATACATGATATTTTCATTTGTAACCTTAACTGTGCTGTGCAGGGAAAAAGTAGCGCTTATAAGAACGGTAATTACTTTATATGCATAGAACTCTCTCTCTCTCTCTCTCTCTCTCTCTCTGAAAAAAATATACAAGTATATGGAATATACCTTGTAATATTTAGACTTCTTAACATGCAGTTGTAAATTGCTCAGAAAAAAAATATGCAGCATCTTTAATTTAAGCATGCATAGACATCGTTTTAATCGCTGTTCCAGAGCTAGCAATGTGAATGTCCAATGTCTCGTATATCAGCATCAAATTAAACACAATTATGAATAAATTTACGCACTAGATTTTAATAATATCATATTCCTTTAAAAAAAATTCTGCATCAAGTTTAAAATTTTTGTTACACTTTGAATTTAAATTTTATTTCTAGTTCTCAAAATGCGGTCAACAAAAATTACTTCAGTGTTGACAATACCGCGACTTTGACGTCGTTTTCTGAGCATTGTGACATCAAAAGATAAGGGCCCTATTTCTCAGTCAAATACTAAAAAAGACTCGAATCCAAGCTAACGGCCTTTTATTTATCTGCAAATATTTTTTACTTGAGAACAAAGGACAGCTTTCATTGTACAAAATGTGACTTGATCAGCCTCTCACTGTGTACAAACTGCGTCATTTTTGAGAGATGACGTCACATTGACAAGTGCACTGCGATCAATTCATCGTTTATATACTGTTGTGTGGGATATAACAAACGACAGAACTGCATGTAATAGTAAGTTTGTATGTAGTATACAGCTACCAGCTGTTTGAAATAGCAAAAAAATTCATTTTGTGGTATTTTGAAGACCTTACATTATGTGTGACGTCATAATAAACAAACCCGTACAAATTAGGCCCCGCCTGTATTTCATGGTAATTAACAGTTACAAAATTTTTCCTAACGAGTACAATTGAATAGGAAATTAAATAAAATAATAACATGTTTTTTTTTTATCAAAATATGCATTTGATATGTTGTTTAAGGCATCTGGCTCCGTTGGAGTTCAAGATCATTTTATTCATCCAAACTATTTCAGGTAGATCTACATGAGGACAATGAAGAATATTTACAACATATAAATTTAGGTCAGAGACACAAGTTTATGAAAAGTAAGAGAAAAACGCAAAACACATATGAAACTTGTAATAATGAAATAAGCGAGGGGAAAAATCATGGAGGACTGACTAACTAAAATCATATATTTTCAATATAAACGTACGTAGTTTTCTGAGTGCCGTAGAAACTTGTTTTGTCATCAGTTGAGAAAAATATAAGAATGCGTACAAGTATTTGATTGCATACTCTCAACAAATTAAAAAATAATTGGTATATTCAATCTACATGTAAATTGTTTACGTTTCGTAAATGTAGTGTTTTTGAGTTAACCAAACACCGTCATTCCTACGAATATTTTTAATTTTACATTACATACTTTAAACTAGTACCTGTTACTTAACATTCATATATTGAAAAAGTCAGATCTCCAATTAAAAAATTATCAGCTCAAAAAGAGATGCCAACGATTTAGGTACCCCATCGATATAGGACCATCCACGATATATATTGACAAAATTATTCGGGGGAGGGTACTACCCCCCCCCCCCCCTCCACAAAAAAAAAGATGAAACCTAATCGTTAATGCAGCTAAAACTTATGCCTGTTTGCAGTACAAAGTGGTAACAATTGAAAACCGGTTTGAATTTAACATCTATAGACATGATAAAAGGATGGTTTCATATACATTCAAATTGGGGGGGGGGGGGGGGGGGGTATCAAATTGTGACAAAATTATTTTCATAACATTATTAATAAAATTGTATAAGGTTTTGTAAATTAATACTAAATTGATACTTTTTCTGAATAACCATAATGGTATTTTTAATACCATTGCAGACAGATTTTTATTTTGAAGATAAATTGTTTTTTTTAAATGTTATATGTATCCACTGAAAACTGTTGGGGGAAGGAGCGTGTCAGTCGAGAAAAGATAAATAAATTCATTTTCAAGGTCATTATATTAAATATACGAGTGAATCTAGTATCCAATCGTCTAATCCCATTCACCTCCCCACAATTTACATAATAGTATTGAAATGGATAAAATAATGAAAAATGATGGTGGTTCTTGAGGGGTGTTGCTAAAACGAGGAACGGAAGATGTATTATATTTTTTTTTTTAGATTAAATCACATTTAATAAACAAATTTATAAACAATATATATTCTATAAATTCAACCCCCCTTATTTAATACAAGTTGATATATTCATGTTCATAAAATCTCTTATTCACGAAAATTGCAGTCAAAGCAGTGACGTAGAAACGATTTTGAAAGGGTCGAGAGGGGAGGGGGTGTAAAATTAAACTTACCTGAAAAGAATTTGCCAAGCGAAAAAAGATGACAATTGTTTGATTCGGGAGATGGGATAAGACTAAACTCCAGCATCTTTCATTTTCTTAAACTCCTTTATGGAGTATTTTGTATAACATCTCCTGTCAGTATTTTTATAAGATTGCGTCATGTTTAAATTGATAGAAAGCAAACAACTTACTGAAGGCTCAAATCTTATAGTTCAAGTCTCAAAATTCATATGAATGATACTGGAATAGAGTCCGTTTGAAGTTAAATACTTGTAATTTTCCTTTTATTAATTAAGAGCATGTCTACGAGAAAACCATGCAAAAGGTTATGGGAGCAAGGTTCTCTGATCAACTTCATGTTTTGTGTGTAAATTTCTTCTACAATATGAAATATTTTGCCACAATTTTTTTTTCAGTGTGGTCTCCCTTAAGGGGTTAAATCGACATTGTTACTAAAAATAGAATTCTTGGTCCTTACACAGGTTGAAAACAGGAATTTTAAAGGATTTTATATTAAAAAATTCAGCATTTTATTTAATATTGATATATAATATCCATATATGGTTGAAAGTAACAAGATACACTTGTTTCGGAAAATTTTTCATAATCACAAACTGTGTCCCCATTTTAGTGCAAAAAGGTCACAAATCTGGCATATTTCCAGATTTTTGAAAACTGGTGAAAATACTCACTTTTCAAAAACCTATAACTCAGAAAGTGACGCTTAGAATCAACTCAATCATATACCAGTTACTAGACAACATGTCTTTCTACATTATATTAAAAATCTGTTATTGGACTCTCAAATTTTTGGCTGTACTTTTTACTTAAAGTTGGATATTTTTTTTTTCAATTTTCAAATTATCTCATCCTTGAACTTCAGCAAGGAGTTTTTTGCTTAGTTAAATATTTTCAAAAATTTAAATTTTGCTGTCGAAAAAATACCAGTATTTTGTACATTTTTGTTCTTTATCAATTTAACTATTTCTTAGGGGTTAAATGGGGTTAATGGGGGGGGGGGGGTTACCTGAAATGTATATTTTACATTGTATTTAAAAAGGGTGATATTCACATACAGCTTAGCACCTGTTTGTCAGTCAATAGACCAAGTGTGTTCTCCCTTATCTTAGAAAAAAATACTCGATAGATAATAAACATAGTACACTGGTATCTACAAATAAGTAGAGGGCCCCTTTTAGTTTGGAGTTCACAAGGTCAAAGGTCAAGGGTTACAATTCTCTAGGTATACCAGAATGTAGATCTTAATCATTCAAAATCTTGAATACCCATTGCTTCACAAACATCAAATTTAGTATACTGGTTTCTTGAAAAGTAGAAAACCCTCTAAATTTTGAGGTCAGAAAGTCAAAGGTCAAGGATCAAACTGAACAAAAAGGAATATCAGAGCCATTTTCTTGACAGACATTTTGTCATGGCAACAAACTCAAAATGAATGAACACCAAGTTTTTAAAATCAACAAATTAGGACATAACTAGTTTTTAATTTCATTGCAGATTAAAATTTGAATGTCACTCGATAACTAAGTACATTCAACAAAAAAAAAAAAAAAAAAATTACAATGCTTGACTGCTTCCTGATATTTTATATTCACTTCCAAAATTAAAATGACCTTGAAATTTCTTATGCTTGAAAAAATTCTACTTGCTTAAGTATACATTGTGATTCTAAATTAAGATAAGATTTAACAAGAAAAATCACAGCTTCCCAAGTCATATTCTGAATTATTTGCTATACCTGTATACAGGAAATTAGTCTTTATAATAGTGTTATATTTGGTAAAACAAAAGCACTGTTGACCTTGATCTTTGACCTTATTTAACAAAACAAACACCGAAAATTTACTCTGAATTTTTGTGTATTCCTGCAATTGAAACCTGATGCATATTAAATATTAAGATGTTAACAATGTCGAAGTACATGTACCAATTAAATCGTACAAGTTAACATATATTAAATACCCTGAAATACTGGTCATTATGCAAGCTTCTTCAATTATAAAATGTCATTTCTAAACAATTGGCAATATGCCAATCCTCATATTAGGGGTCATTTCTGACAATTTAGTTAAATTCAATTTAAATTTTTTTTTTCAATCTTAATTATTATTTCAAAGAAAATATTACATGTTTTGATATTGAACAACAATTGATTATAATTTAAAGTACTATATTTGACTTTGTAACCCATTTGAGTTTGAACATTTTTTTTCGAAAAATGGCAACTTGTTAATCCCCATATCTCAATTATTTATTATTTCCCAAGCTCAATATTTTGCAAAGATAATGTTTAGAGTTATATTTGTACAATAAAATAAAAATAATTAATTTCAAAGATTGGTCTTGGTAGATTTAGGGCATTTAATTTGTTATACTTTTTGCAATTCTTGAAAATTGGCATCATGCCAATTTTCAAGAGTTGTATGCCCTTTGGTATATTGCATATTTGATAGTAATAAATATCAACTTTGAAAGAACATAGTCTTATGTTACTTTAAAAAACCTTAATGGAAATGCAAGTTTAATTTTGAGCAAAATAAATCAAATGTGAATTATACATTTTTCCTTGAATTTTTAAGTGCATTTGCACTTAAATGTGCAAAAAGGAGGTGGCGCTGCCTACGGCTGCCAGGTCGAATGATGGGAATTTTTTTGGTCATTTTTGAATAACAATATTATAAAGTCAAACTACCCACGAAATTACATTAAGATATAACAACCTTTGATTTGGACAGTTCTGCATGGTTTTCTCGCGGACTGACTCTTAACAAGACATAAACAGGGACCCTCTGACACTGGTGACCTGGCATAAGGTGCCTAGGAGGTGCAATCATCCCCTCCTGTCTCGTGACACTTGCCATTATATTTTGGCGTATGTGTTTATCAGCTATATGGCACTCCCCGTCATAAAATTCATTTATAGAACGAGAATCCAACAATTTGTATTAAATGTGATTAGCCAAATGTAACAATTATATAATTCTGCTTTGTTGAGTTCAATCAAGGTTGACAGTATTTCTACAAATCAACTTACCTATCAGCATCCTTTAAAGATTGATATCTTTCGAACATTCCTACATTAAATAAGAAAAGACAGATCGTGCTCTGTAATGCACAGTTAACTATTAATGTGTCAATTATCCATGAAAATCAGGTTGACTAAACTCAGTCTTTTACTGGTGTACCCCCTCTTCCTCTCTCTCTCTTCTCTCTCTCTCTCTCTCGTTCGGACTTGTAACAATTAAACTTTTAACTTTTTTGTAATTATTTTACAAAACAGATGAATAAATGTTGCTTACTGCTCGATGATATAAATGAGAGAAACATTCGTCTTTCAACACATATTTCAATTGGCTTGAAACATATTTTTTTCTGCAGGTGAATTTCATTCAGAAAAAGATAACAAAGCTGGTATGATTGTTGGAATTATGGTGCCAATTATTCTTATTCTTGTGACCACCATTACAGTGGCATTTATTATAAAACGACGGGGTGGCATCAATTGGGAAATGTGAGTACTGAAATTTCTTTTAAACCTTCATCCAGTATGTACCAAGAATATACTCTCGTAGAAATCCTTGCCACTTTTATTTAAGAAACTACAGATTTAGAATATTTTGCACGAATTTCTTTAACATATGTCATTTTATCCCGGAGAACGAAGGTCGAGCACTAGCAAATAGAAATAGTAGTTTACTTACTGAGATCTTTTTTTTTCGTTAGTCAGATAATTCTTAAAAAAGCCCACTCCAGTATTGGCCAGTTTAGATATTTTTCCAATTTATGTGGTAGTTGGACTTCATTTCCGAAATTTGATCTATACTTTTAAATATTGTCGATTTTGTGTAAATGAAGGATACGGAGGTGACAAACAGTATTCAATATCAAAGTCCATAAAACAATACAAAATAGGAGCAAAGCAAACACGGACCTCCAAAATATCAGAGGTGGGATCAGGAGCCATGAAGGAGTGAGCATCTCCTGCCGACCGGTCACACCCGCCGCTCCTTGTCATGAAAGGGAATTAACTGAAAAATCCGTCGTTAATTCAGAATATAACCTGAATATATTAGACATGTTTTGCCTAGCTTAGAGTACTTTTTGAATATTGAAAAACATATTGACCTAACATTCACTTGGCAACAGTGCCATAAATAGTCCCATGAAAAATGAAACTACAATATTACTATGAATTGCCGTATGCCTTGTTGTACTATAAATCATTTTCGTTGAAAATATCTAAATGTTTTATTTTTTTCAAGCTGTTACCATAAATCTAAAGGAAAGGACTATGAAAAGCCACATCATGAACTCATTAACATAGACTATGAAAATAGAAGAAAGAAGAGGAAAAGTAACTACATTAAGTGTAATGATACAACTTTTCTAGACGAATACAATGTAATACAAGAAGAACAAAAAACAACCCCCCCTCTTGACTATGCTGACATAGAGTTTGTAGTCAAAAAGAAAAAAAAAGGTAAAATCCATCTTGACTATGCTGACATAGAGGTTCAGTCAAAAAGAAAAAAAAGAGGTAAAATTGACGTAAAAACGCCTCCTCGAGAGAATTGAGAAATTCTACCCCAGCAAAGCAACGAGATTATTTATATGCTAGAAGGAAGATTTTTGGGTGTGGTTTGATGTAGTTCATTCTTTAAGAAGTTAGTTTCCGTCAAGGGCCTGTGTGATCTTTCCTTTTCCAATTAAGTGTATATTATCATAGATGTCCAGTCGTGGTTAAAAAATTCCCGTAAGGCCGTTTATAAGAATGAAGTTTCTTTGCCCTCTCACTATTCGGGTTAAAATAATTGCGTCGGTATAGGTAGGTCGAGATCTTTTTGTCGGAGATTTTCAATGATAAATAAAATTGAAGGCATTTCTGAAATAAAAAAAAAATAGTTGTTGATGGGATGAGAAAATTCCTGAATGAATATTTTGGAGGTTTTAAAAAGATTTTAGTCGGTTAATCTTAAAAGGCCAAACAGACAAGTTATCATAGATAGGGGTTTTTATTTAATATGCAGCTGTTTCATCGCTATATATGCATATGAAAGAAAAAGTAAACAGGAGCATTAAACTAAGAAAAGAATTTTATTTAAATAGATGCAGTGAAAAATAACATGAATTACTTCTCTTTTATTTAAGGAATGAATTTAATAGCTACCCAATTTATACATGATATGGACTGAGTTGGGGCAGTAAACAGTGCAGTTTATATTTTTTTAAAAGTGTAAACACAGTTTATACCGTATAAATTGGGTAGCAATTTAATTAATTCCTTTTAATATATTTTTTCGTCATTTAGTGTATGAAAAAAGACGATTAAAAATCACTTCAGATACATGTAATACAATTCTGAAATGAACTAAGGCGGATCGATGTTTTTCTTGTAATTTCTTTATCCAACCAAATACTGCGTTATAAGTAGAATTCAATTATTACATCTTTTTTCACTTCCGTAGATGATGTAAGTTAGAAAGATGCATCGCTGTTCATTGTTCTTTTCTGTGCAAGTAGTAAGAACTGTACAAAATCTTTGATAGCTCGCCAAAGATATTGATAAATAATTACCTTAAGTTAAAAAAATGTAATTCTCTCTTGACACAACACAGAGTATTTGATTTGGATACTTCTTCCGGAATTAGTTTTTAGTCGTTGATTTAAAATGAATATTTGAAGAAAGGCCTCTTGAGCTTCTCAATTGATTTTGTTATTGTTGTATTGTTGAACACCTTCTTATGTTGTACACGAAAAAAATCGGACCCTCCCCTCCCGTGTCACGTGTGTGCTCCATTTCTTTGGTGACTTCGTGCAAATTTTGTCGTGAATATACGGATGCTCGCATATTTTGTAAGTTACAGTCCCACTTTCTAATAAGATATTTTATGATTGAGAATAAAGCAGATTGGACATATGTTAATTGACCCTTTTCCGTCATTTTGCTGCACTGTTATGCATTCATTATCCGTTTACTGGGGTTATACACACCGATAATACATCGAATGAAACTGGCAAACATTACACATCGGTAAAATGTTATAATTAGGTCTAATACAAATTGTTACAAATTAATACAAATTGTTTGAACACTTTTAAAACATCCCAACCTATTATTTTTTTGAGCATGGTTTATCTACGAAAGAAAAATTACGGTGAAGAGATGACTTTAAAGTTTTGGATTCCTGAAAACAGCATAATGTCGGCCATTTATAAAATCGCTGAATCAAGCTGCCGCATGAAGTAACGCAGTCTTCGGTGCTCATTCAGCCCTCTGAACTTAGAACACCAATGCAGGATGAAAGTTTTTATTAAACATTTTAGAGTTTATAAATTTTCTTTGTAATGATTTTATTTTAATCTTCAATATCAAGGATTTATCTAACCTTTAATAATTATATCCCCGATAAAGATTTGTCTAAAGTGGTCCACAGTGCAATATGTGCCGAGTCTATTCAAACGGAAAAGTGAATATGTAATATTCCGGAAATTTATATTGTAATCATTCTGGTTTGGTGATTAGGTTGGTGTGTAAAAATCCGCCTTATAAGGTATATAAAGGCTGGATCCGCGTTACAGAGTGTTCATTCCAGCGCAAGCTGTGCTTAGAGTAAGACGTGTGCGAACCATAACAGCAGTAAGTGAGACTTAACAAAATAAAGTCAGCTTACAGAAGAAGTCCACCTTATAAAATAAATAAGGTGTAGTCTACAAGAATTAATAAAGGCTGTTATGTTTTGGAGTGGCAAGCCACTCAGAGGCTAACCAGGAACGGAGGTTAGCCACCAGACCTGTAATTCGTCTTGCTGATCTGTCTGGCAACCAGGCTGTTGTGTACAGTGTGTCTGCCTGAATAAGGCTAGCAGTGTGCACAGCAGTTGAAGGGCTGTCGCTTGTACTGACTGTGTCCTGAATAAGGCTGCAGTACAAGCGTCAGTCCGAGGTTGGCCAGCGTTAGGGATAGTCTACCCACTGCCATAATCATCTGTTATTATTTGATTCACCTTTGAATATTGTCGTCGTGATTATTAACCTAGATAAGGTTGGCCATTTATTTGTATATTTTGCAGGCCTTTGTTAACAATCATTTGTCAATCATTTATTAAGAAAAATTATATTATATTGGAAATCATCCCCCAAAACCTTGAATCGACAAGGTACGATCCCCGATTGCTATTTTATTATTCCGCTCGACACGTTACAAATATGTGTGTTTAATAACTGTGCTCATAATTAACTTGTTAAGTCACAAAGAAACATAATATCCCACAGAATATTCCACTTTTATTGATAGAATTTGAACTTAAACCATTTGTTCTCTTGTCTGTCTCGAAAACTGTGTTTACCTTCAACGTCGCATAGACGCTTTCTTCCGAAAGGGAAAATCCAAGTCTATTTTTAGTACACGGAAAACGTGAACGTATGTATGAAACTTAACACTGACTTGTTTATTTGCAAATATAAATCCTGAAATTTACAGTAATTTACTGACTCTCTCAATACTTACATGCTTAAGAATCATCTTAATCCTTTTGTGTGTATGTTTAATATATACTGGAGTCATGGGCTAGTACTTGTTGCTCGAATTTGTTCTATGGACACATTCAGAAATTTCACTTTTTTGAAAATGGTTTGCTTGGGTTTTAAACCTGTGAAATTTTAACAATAAACTATTACATCCCAAGCATCTATATGTGGTATTTTTATTATGTACAGCTGTTTAGTGTGTACATATGTTAACACTTTTTGTTCTTCAAAGTTTGTTTTTCATTTGCATATATTTTTTGTTCATTTTTTGTAGGGATGGCAATCGATTGCAGAATTGCTAATCGGTTAACCGCAAAACTTTCCGACCGATTAACCGGTTAGTCGTATCAAGATATACATGTACATTTTGACATTTTCTTCAAAGGTGTTAGAAGTTACACTGTGTTTTATTTTGATTGGGGAATTTTATTTACATAACAGTATTTTTTATTTCAATTTCAACAGACACGAAAAAATTAAGAAAACCATGATTCTTATTTGAGAAATAAGAAAGGGATAAATATTCCAACGCGGATGTTAAAAAAGTTAATTCTGCGTTGTCACAATAATCAGAACTAGTTTATGTCTGAACTCTCATTTCATTTACAATTTACAATGATCTTTATAATAATAAAATTTAATAGATAAAGGCAAAAATAAAGACATACTATAATTAAAAGTGCTTAACGGTGATGTTTTTGTTATCAAAAAAAAATACTCAGGACTATCTGGGTAACGGCGTGATGTTATAAAGACAGTCATTAACACTTCACGAATTGATCAATTACCCTGCGATCTCAATCTGAAGAGCTATAATTTTCTCCGAATTTTTTTAATTTTAAGATGTGTAAAACACTAAACAAAAATCTATGGAACGCTTTCCTTTCTATAAAAAAAAAAAACAAAAACTGAAGGGATTTTAAGGAAACTGCACTCAAATTTACATATATATTTTATTTTTTCCGACTAACCGATTACGGATTTTCTAACCGATTAGCATCGTTCCGACCGATTGATCGATTAACCGGTTACAAATTGCCATCCCTGATTTTTTGTTTATTCTTGTTTGAATTCCATTTAGTTTTGTTTTATTTTTCTCCATTTAGTTTTGTTCAAGCCTATTACTTGCACACTATATTCCATTTCATTATTATCCTCCAGTTACATGTAGTTAGAGATGTCAGTTCAAATGTTTTTTCATTGATTAGCTTGGGCTGTAGATTTCAATAGTGAAAAAACTGTTAATGTTGATTTTACTAAAAAACACATAAGTTATCCTAATATTCAGTTTGGATATGGAGGTGATTATATAATACAATTAAATACCCATGTTCATTAAGGATAACAATTTCAAGCAGATGGTTCTTGAATAATCATATATTGAATATATATGAAAAGGCATGTAAAAGATTGAATATAATTAGGTTACTGAAACATATTACTGATAGAAATTCACTAATGAAAAATTATTTCGCCTTTATAAGACCAATTTTAGAATATGCTGATGTTGTATGGGATAATTGTACCCAAAGTAGTTCAGAATTGCTTGAAAAAGTTCAGATAGAAGCTGCCAAAATTATTACTGGGCTTAGAATTAATTCATCCAGAACTTGTTTGTATGGTGAACTAGGATGGGAACCATTATATCTTAGAAGCTAAAGATAAAAACACAAACTTCAATTGATGTATAAAATGATTAATGGTTCTGCACCCGATTATTTGTATGATTTGATTCAACCTTGTTTTCCTGTTCAACATGCTTACAACCTAAGGTCTGGATGTAATAACTTATGTATACCAGTTTGTAAAACAATGTCGTACTATAATAAAACTTTGGAACAGTGTTAGTGAAGATGTAAAGATGTAAAAACTCTCCTTCATTAGATATCTTTAAAACAAAGCTTAAGATTTGGGGAGCAACTAATAAACCTTGTAGGTACTTTAACTTTGGTAATAGAAAAGAAAATATCTTGCATTGTCAGTTGCGAAACAATGCTAGTAATCTTGATGCACATTTAAAAAATCATTTTTTTTTATCAGATATACAATCATGTCAAAAGTGTTGATTTCATACTGAAGATACTGAACATTATTTTATCAACTGCCCATCGTAAAATGTTGAAAGAAACTTATTGGTAAAAAAAAAAAAATGATATTGATGTTGTTTTTGAACTCGACGCTCTTCTAAGAGGAAAATGTCAATACTCTTATCAAACAAATTGTAAAATATTTTCATATGTACAAGAATTTATTAAATCTTCTAAAAGACTAAATTAAGGACACTGTTATATTAAATGTATAATTATTTTTTTTCCAAATGTTTGTATTATTTAAGCAGGAACAGTATGTAAATAATATGTATACAGTTAGGGGGTTGTCATCTTTTTTGAAATATAATATTGTTGAATAAAACTTGATTGTGAATGTTTATTTTTCATTATAATTTTATTGATTATCATGTTCATGTATTATTACCTACTATTGTATCTTGATTTATTATACAAGGAGAGGGTGTACATAGGCCTTGCCTGTTGCCCAATCCTTATTGAATTACTCAATAAAAGATTTTACAACCAATATTTTACTATAATTAACATCTATACCTTGGACAATAGAATAATAATCATATTTCCTTCTGTTGAACTGCATTTAAATGAACATATGCATTTCAAATTATGGAAGTTTACTACCAATTACACGAAATTTGATACATACAATACATGTAACAAACTAAAAAAAAATTCAATATTTTTCCTGCAAAAGTGATCGGCTTGAATATAATTGCGTGCTTGATCAACTAACCCATTCAAAAAGCTTCAATTTTATAAAAAGATATATATGTATTAATTAAATTAATAAATTCATTTTTTAATAAACAAAAATTACAACTTACGATTGTACATGTGTGCTTTGTTCTTGTTTAATTAGTTCAGGTAATTGATTAAGCATTGATGTCCATAGCCGAGATACCCCCCTCCCCCCCTGTTTACGATAATGGAAAAATATTAAGAATGATTTACCAATTATATTACTTTCTGTTGCGATTTGGACAGGCATGCAGTGACGTAGCATCGTTTTGAAAAAAAAGGGGGGGGGGGCAGCCAGAGAAATGTTTGTTTTCTTATCTGAAAAAGTTGACTAACAATTAGAAATTTCCCAAGCTTGAAAATCCTATTTCGTGGGAAGGGAGGGGCGGGGGACTTTTTCCAATGGTTTCTTCCTACACCCCCTACACCCCCCTCCTTGTTGCTATACGTACCTGGCATGTTTTAACCTATACTCAAAAGCAACTAATATTTGATATGATTAAAATAAATCATAATGTGCGCATGTTCTTTCTTAGGATTGTAAGAATGAAGATTAGATTTAGCCTCATATTCTACGGGTTGTAATTTTCCAAAAGTTATTAAAATCATGTGGGCCTTCTTGCAAATTAAGGACTGGTTTCATAACGACACCAAAAAAAAAAAAAAGAAAAGCAACGAACTGCACTACAGCACACAAATAAAATTTATTAGAGAATATCAGAATATCAATAAGCCATAAAGGCTTTAAATATGAGTTCGTAATTCTGCATACATTTTCCCCGCATTAAACATTTGAAACTCAAACATGTAAATAGTATAAACTTGTGGTATAAGAAATGTTATGATAGCTTTAGATAAAAAAAAAAACCTATTGCACTCTTTAGAAACTCAGGTACATGTACATGTATTTTAAATGTAAACTATGACAATACATGTACTTTCTTTTTACTCTGTGTATTGAACAGATTTTTGATGTCCGGGGGGAGAAGGTGGTAAGGCCTGTTTGGAACTTTTTTAAGATAACTACTTTGATAATGTAACAGATACAATTAAGTGTCCCTGCTTACCGGGTAATTGGGATTGAACCCGAGGCCTCCGGCTTGCCATTCCAGTCCTCTATTCCGATTGAGCTTAAGGCTTAACCTAACAGCCAAAGCTAGTATAGGAAGCCGTGTATATTGCTTGTACTACCATAATAGATTTTTTTTCATCTACATGTTGCTTATTTCCTTACTGTTGCAGTGATGTAGATTTCTGCCATTTTCTTGGTTTAAAAAAAGCCAAAAATTGGAATATCTTTTGGAGGAAGAGAAGATTTTTGATTTGAGTTTTGTTTTTTTTCCCCTGTCAATCATTTTGGTGCCACCCCCTTCCCTCTTTTCGGTTTTCAAAGATATAGTTTATAATGTTTATTTTTATTATTACGATGAAAAATCTTAATTATTGGTATTTTCAAGGGAATCAAATCAAAAAAATTGAAAATATAAATATTATCAAATCATTATATAACTTCACGTTATTTTACTATTTTACGTTCTGACAATTCATGCAGTTACGCATGCGTACACTGTACGTCAAAGTTAATATTCCGTCTTTGTAATGCGATATTTTATACATTTATACACAGAAGTATATGTCATGTTATACATTAAATGAAAGAGAAAAAAACACTCTACAGGAATCAATAAAAAAATGAAAATGTCAAAATTCTTCGTTAAGGAAGGTTTTTGGTGGGTGCGTCACGTATTATTGGTAAAATGCGTTATTTTGTCTTTTTTGTTGGAATCAATGTTGAAACTTTAGCAGAAAAAAAAAACATTTTTTTTGTCTGCAATAATATCAGCTTCAGCTCGGATAATTTCAATAAAAACAAATGAAGAAAATATTTCATTGTTCGTATTATTTCTAAACAAGATGTTTTTTGAAAAAAAAATGATATTGCATTATTGATTATTGATTTTTAGTTATTGTATGCTTTACTGATTTAAAATTTATTAAATTAAAAGTCAGTCTGTATGTGTGATATGCTAAGCTGTGTTTGACGACTGATAAACAAAGAAGTTAAAAAAATACTAATGAACATATACAAGACATGTAATATTCAGTAAAAGTAAGAAATAAAAAAAAAATCTGATACATAGATTTTATTGTTATCTTCAGTAAATTATTATGCACAACGCACTATCCGATTGATTCTACATTAGCACGTAATCGGGCCGACTTCATATTTCACAGTCGTCTGTATGCTTTTCATCATATTCCACCTCTTCGGATACTTAGTGTATTGCTGAGAGTAGTAGACCTCACGATAGCCTGGTTTATGCGAAGGAAACTTTATTCAAAATAAACATGAAATCATATAAAAATTTTCTTTAAAATTTAAACCAATGGTACTTGTATACAAAGAAATAAACTAAATTTACTTAGCAAAGAAAAAAGTGAATCATTATGCAGTTATGAACCGTTGTTTCTTTCGAAATATTTAAAGTAGAAAAAAAAACACATTTCGAGTGACACATTTTATTGAAAAAAATTTAAATAATCGAGATAATAATGAATATGACACCGTTATTCTTACATGTATAAATGGTTAACAATGTTGACAAACCCAACCACATGATATAGCGTAGGATACAATAATCTATGTATCATTACCCAACTTATTAAAAGAAATACACATTTCCTGTAGTTACATGTAAATAAATTAATCTAGCACCAAAATACATGGAATACATCAAAATCATCAGCTAATGTATATAAAGACGACCATTATTTCCATTATAAAATTTTCCAAGTCAGCAGTTTCTTGTAAACTTCCATTCAATGTTAAGTCCTATCAATATGTTACATTAGATAATGTTACTATGGCACATTTTCTAAGAAAAATAATTATACAGTAAAAAGACATTGATGGATATGCAGAACAAGGTTGAATGCTAAAAAAATTCCATCGTGAATATTTCAAAGAGAAGTTCGTTCTCTGATGAAGTGCAACTCCAAACAAGGCTTCGTGCCCTTTACTTAAGGTCAGGATCTAGATAATGTGACTTTTTAATGCTAGATCCTATTTGACTTTAAAATTGATTTAAGCTTATGTTTTCGCAATTTACATCTGTGTATACATTTTGTATCTAAAATTTATATCTGACCTTGTTTTTCATTGAAAAATATTGTTTAAAACATGTTATCCCGCATAATATATCCAAAAATAATATCCAGAAACACTTTATTTTACCAAGTCTTATTTGCAAAGTATTATCAAAAGAACTGTTTTCTCCTATTTGAAAAATCTGTAGGCATCTTTTATGTACTATATCTTGACCTTTTGTAGTTTTAATGTAAATATTAATTTTCATTTTACAGGGTGAAGTTGTCAAGAGCAACATAAAACAAAAATGTAGATTATTTGATACATGAACATAAGAATGCAAATGGGTCTTGTTAATTTGGCAAATTTTGCTGCAAAACATTCGAACTTTTCAGTTTGCGTAAAGATCTTCTTGTTGTTCAGTTTTCTCCACTATGATCTCCTTTGATGAAAATCTGCGCAGAAGTTTGTAACACTCCTCAAATTGTTCCTACAAAGGTGAATTAAATCCATTTTATCAAATGATGCTATTCATATCCATTTTGTTGGTGTAGAATACAAAAATTCAAAGGGAGATATAGATATTTAAACCTTTAATTTGATTTTAATATTCTATAAAATATTTTTTTCAAACTTTGCTTTTCAAAACTTTATCTCTTTGAACATGTAGTTTATGTCTATATGTTATTTGACGTATTTAGGTTCAATGTTCTTGCAAAGAAGTCTATATATAAATTACAACGGTTCTCATTCTTAGGATAGAATATTTCTTAATATTTTGTAATAAATAAAGAAAAATGTTCTATAACAAAATATTCATTAAATAAGTTGCTTAATGTCTATGAGATCTAGTGTTAGAAATATAAATAAACGATTTCATTTACTCACATAGCTAAGTATGGCAGAGAGCTGGTAAGCCTGTAGACATCTTGCCATAAAACACATGTCTGTTTCTCCTTCATACATCAGCTGATGTAGGGAATTTAACACAATCGCTGCCATCAGAACTTCGGTGTTGTTTTCTCTAGAGAAAACAGATATGTATGATAAATTTTCACACTGAATAATTAAAGGGGATTTTCGTTTTCCCTATCATGGTAATAAGCACACAAATTGTGTGATATGTCAAAAGGGATTCTTACTTCTTCAACCTACCTGATGCCACCCCTTTTGCTAAATTGTATTTTATTGACTATTTGGCTGTTAACGCTCATACTAATTTGCATAGTTAACGTTTTTTTGTTAGGTCTTTTGAGATTCTCAGATTCTTTCTTTTTTTTACACTGAATTGTTTCAGAGACAAAAAAAAAGAATGTTTGCCGGTTTTTGTTTTTGAAAATTTGAATAAAAAATAAAATTAAAGAAGCAGCCCATTTTAAAATCTTGCATCTGAACTCAGAGGAGACCCAATCCTTTGATATTTTGATCAAATTGCGGTATAAATAATATGAAAATTTTGATAAATTAGCTATTTTAAAGATAAATATTTTTATTCGTACATGTACATTTTCAAATGAATATTCGTTCGAAAATGGTATATACATGTATCTATATGCTACTAAATATAAATATTTAACTTCACAATATTGAAAATACCAATAGATAAAAAAGTTTTAAAACAAACTTGTGTATAATAATAATTGGCTTTTCTCTATCCAATGTCATGCTTGTCACGGCATCTATGATATCAGAAAGCTGTGTTGTGTTGGAATACACAGATTCGTCGGATGGCATAGCTTGTAGAATTCTGACATCAATTTCTTCATCGTCCCCATGCTTCGAAATAAAATGGATAATTCATACATATACAGAAAACAAGCATAGAATGCTAATAAATACACACAAGTGCATGTATATCTACATTTCTTATTGTTTAAAAGTTAGGTACATTTAAGTTAATTTCTTGATAATTACATCTTAATGTTAAATTCTAAAGGTGAAAGGTCAAGAACCTTCTATGCATGACAAACTTGTGCGGTTTGTATTTGCTTCTGATGTCAATGGACGGGGGCTATTTAAATTAATCATTTTCAAGCCATCTGCCTAAGCTCTGGTAAGTAAAGGGGTCTAAACCTAGCTTAACAGTGAAAAGGATTGCACAGGTGTGAAATTTTAAATTTGTTTATTTATACCACTTTAGTATCTGTACCTGAATAGTAATCCTTGTTGTAGATATTCTTCTGCAGAGGCTGACCACCCTACTCTTAGTCTTCTTTACAACGTATCTACCGACGACCAAATCATGGTCCTCTGGAATCCACTGCTTTGTCTGAAAAATAAAACAATGGAATATCAAACATATAAAATTCAAAGCAGTTTATTGTGTACACTAAAATATGTAGCAAGGCATCTTTAAATCAAAATAATATATTGCATATTTTGTAATTAGATAAAAAAAAAACTTTTTCTCGATTGAACAGCATTTTCCATTCTCTTGGCATTTTATTGAAGAATTAAAAAATAAAGAAATATATTATGTTTAATAAAATTTTTAAGTATTTTGTAAACATACTGTAAGCTGCTCATCAAGAGAATCCAAGGTCATAACAACAGATGGTGCACAATCCATTAATATTGCCATGAACTCTGGAACATCTTTCGCCTTTGGATAGCGACACACAATTATTCCATCTTCCAACCACATAGACTAAATATGAATATAAAATTAAAAATCAAACGAGACCACACAGAAAATCAATGTTGTCTGGCGTTTTTATGCTTATTGTTAATCCATTATTTATTCACCGATACAAAGGGATTTCTACTGTTAAAAATTATTTCCCAATTATAAATATAAATACTGTGGGCAATGTGCTCGCTAAATGATACCCCCTAGGGTTCCTGTAAGGTTATAATAGCAAAGTCCATTTTTTGTTCTGGTGACCCGAAATGGGAGTCTGATCAAAGCGTAGAATGAGAGGTTCATAATTGCAAAAACATAATGACTCTGTGAGATTATAATTATTTGTTATCAGTTGTATAGATGGAACTGTGGATAAAACATGGATACCCTTCAATATAAAAGAAACAATGGCTTTATCAATGTTTGACTATGGGAAACTCGGAATATAATTTCTATCAAAAAGTAAAATAGGGGGTTACAACAGCACGATGTAACAAGGATTCTATGAAATCTCATTAAATTTTATTCAGTGGTAAAGGAAGAGTTGTGAATAAGAGATTGGTACCCCAAAACGCAACAAACAGATGTACAGACAAACGAACGTAAGACGGTCGGAAACATCACTTTATACAACCAACTTTTCAGGCGGGGTATAGCAAGGAACACAAAATATGTGTGGCAGATCGGCAGAGGATACATCTCCCCTCATGACACCTGATTCCACCTCTAATGTTCTAGTTTTCTGCTCAAAATTTGTATTGTCTGATGGATATAAAAGCTGCTTGTTTACTCTTAGTTATCGTTATCAATAAATATCAGAATGACAAATCTCTGGAATACAGTCACTTTTCAAACGCCTTTTATTTAATTGAAGAACATATTTTATTCTGTACCAAGATATGGTGATAACGAACAGTATTTAACTCATAAGTCTATTAAAAAAACAAATTTTGAGCAGTGCAAACACAGACCTCTAAAAAATCAGAGATGGGATCAGCTGCCATAGAGGATTGAACATCCACTGGCGACCGATGAAGGTTAAGCTTTTGGTACTTACAGGATATTCTCCTACAACCAATGGTTGGTCAGTCTTTTTCTCTGCTTCTGCAAAATCAGATAATACTAATAAAGTTAAAACAATAGTGAATTGGCCATCCTGTGAAAATTATTGTAGATCAACGGTTCACAAAATCATATCCTGATAGGTATATATGTTATTCTGTGAACAGTTTTTAAGAGATTGTGAAAACTGAAACTAAATATGTAAGATCTTACCCTCTACAGCGGTCATAGCTTCATACTGCCTTTGTTGTATGATGTAATTGGCGAACTCCTGATTGAGTACAAAATAAAGTGTGGCATTTAAAGATACAGGTAATTCAACTTGCTTATATAAATACAACATTCAAATATCTTTATATAATTGTAAATGAATGATTGTTTATTTACTGTATATTCCTTGTGCAGTCCATCTTTATCTGCAATGTGATTTGTCAATTTATCACGTGAGATCACGTGACGTGGAAAGTTGAAATATTCGTCTAAGCACTTGTACACAGTGATGTATTGGCCCTGCAATTTGAAAAAAAAACGTGTTTATAACTCAGAAACGTAATGTACATTATATATATAACAAAGGAGTTTTATTATCTTATAGCAAAATATGTACGAAAATCTAATTAAAATCGAAAATACTTTGCAAAATTGTGACAAGGTCTCACCATGAACATTTTTTTAAATGAATTATATAATAAAAATTTTGCTTTGAGTAGATGTCATGACGACTCCTTTTCAGCCTCATCTCCCAAATTTTATCAAGTATTACTGTAAGTCTGTTTCTTTTATTTAAGATTTATATTGATCTTTTTGTTAGAAACAATTAAAAATACCGATGTTTGGATCATATGCATTCTCTCCTTTCTCATAATGCTGACGTATTTAGTGATGTTTACACTTCCGGTCTTCAACCCGTACTGTACCAGAGCATCTATAGCAATAAATGTGCCAGTTCTCCCTACACCAGCACTATAAAATCAAAGTACAAAAAGTACCGGAAATTACTAATTTAAAAGCAAACACAAGCAAAACGAAATCAAAGTACTGAAAGTAGTTGAGTGTGTTGGCAATGGAATTATTGAAGCTTTTTTTTAATCCATAGTGATATTCCTGACATAATTAAATCTTGCATAAAGGATAATTGAAACTATTTAAATAATACCTGCAGTGGACTACAATAGGTCTTTTCGTTTTCTCTCTTGACATCTGTTCTCTTACTTTGAAGTAAAATGAAAGTAGCTGTGACGTCGATGGGACGCCATGATCTGGCCAACCAGTAAAGTGAAAGTGGGTCATATTTCGAGGTACATCATTTTTGTCCTTAAAGATGAAGAACAAGCATGTCAGAGAATGATGCATAGAGATCGATGTTTCTCTTACGAGTTTCCTGTATGAGTATACAAGTATGCCTCTTGATTAAGATTCCCATTGTTTTTAAAGTAGCAGGAGATATCAGTTTGTGAACTGATCGATTTCATGGTGTAGTGCCTTTGCAACTTTTACAGGGAAAATGGGCGATGCATTGTAAATAATTTTAGTGATTGAATTCTAAAAACGTAAATCAGGCATGACCATAGACTTTTTGTGTATTGTAGAACTTAAAGAATAAGAAATATTTATAATATACCTGAGTGTTCCGAACTTCTAGATGTCTCACTGTATAACACGCATACACTGTTTCTTGCTTGTTGGTAACAGCTAATTTTCCATATATGATTGTTCTTCCTTGGTTTGGCCAATACTGCTCACATTTTCTCTGTTATAAATGAAATACATAGAAAACAAATAGTATTCAATATCAAAAATCACCAATCATTACAAATTTTGGAGCAAAGAAAAAAAAAACTTGAATCTCTAAACCATCAGAGGTGGGACAACATGTGTCGTGGAGAAGTGAGCATGAATGTATCCTGCCGATCGGTTACAGCCGCCGTATGCCCCATGTCATGAGCGTGAAATATCGGTAAAGTGGTGTAAAATGACTTTTACAATTTGTTTGAAAAACATCTGACAGCATTTAATTTAGTGATTGATTTTGTAACCAGAGAATGACCTTGTATATATTGACTGTGAATTTACATGTATGACTTAAAGAGAGACTGCTGAACTTCTTGATTCATATCATCAACGTGTTTGTTAATAACCAACCCCCTTTTTAAAAACAAAAATGTACGGAAATCATACTAAAGTGAATTGGATATTAACTGAAAAATATAAACTACGTATGCAGGTTACGAAGAAACATTTCCTTATTAGTAAGGGAAGTTGACGATAAAAAGTTAGAGTCAGAACCTTAATCATAAAGTTCGATTGTTATATTACCATACATATCTTTTTCAAGTAAAATGTCCAAATCACTACATGGTATTGTTTATTTCAAACTCAGCTGGATACCAGTATAATGTATCAATGTAGCACCCATTGGAAATCCAAAAGAGCTTTGGAAGGCCTGGTCTTCAAAATCTATATTCATTTTATATATTGTCAATCAGACACTGAAGCAGTTTATAATGATTAATTTTAAATTAATACCTTTTGTCCCTCAATGATGCCAGTAAGCATAACAACGGTGGTCACTTTCTCATGCCATATCATACGCCATAGATCTTTCACAGTTGTTGCTTTTGGACCTAACACACATTTATTTAAATTAAATCTTGATTATGAAGACATAACAAGAATAAAAACATTTTTCATTTACATTATTGATTAATATCACTTAAGATTTTAAGACGAGGAAAATAATTTTTATCTGTTTGATGCCAGTAAACAATTAGCTAAATAATTAAATTCAACACGAAAAGTCGTAAATGAATTCATGTATAGAAATACCGAAATCCGTACATTTTTGTACAGTAGAGCATTTCATTGAAGAGAGTTCATAAAAAAAGTGTTTATTTTGACACTCATTTGAAATGTACCTTGACATGCTATGTATTCTTTCTCTCTGAGCATACTCTACAATTAATCAAATATTATGTTTGCATCATTCATTGGTGACTTGAAACATATTTTTTATATGGTTTAGCACACTCAAAAATAATTATAGAAATGAAAATTATAATAAATTGTCGCATTTAAGTCGTACAGAAACAAAATATGTTGTTAAGCACTAAAAATAGAAAAAAGTAACAGAGAGTATTCAGGCTCGGAGTCTAAACAACAAAATATATGTCAGAGAGAGATAGAGAGAGAGAGAGAGAGAGAGAGAGAGAGAGAGAGAGAGAGAGAGAGAGAGAGAGAGAGAGAGAGAGAGAGAGAGAGAGAGAGAGAGAGAGAGAGCAAGTCTGGAACCCCCGAAACGTTCAGGTGCCATTGAGGAACGAGCACCCCAATGTTTGACTAATCGAACATATGATAAAATATCATAGTCTGTTAAAAAAATTATACAGCAATACGACAACGGGTATTGTTTTCTGAAATACGCGTAGATGTATACAAGGAAAACAATCTTAATGGATGTAAACATATGTGATTATTTTAGCAATAAGTAAAATGAACGGTATATACGCCATTTTTTTTTCAGACGAACATGCCATCGTCCTGAAAGAGTGTGTGATGAAACAAGGTTATAACAAATATTCATTTTTTTTAACCTTGTGCTGATTGATTTGTTTCCTTTTGTAACAGCTAGCGTCAAATCTTTCGTAGGGATACTTATGGAATGAAGATAAAGTAAATATTTAAAAAAAATATATAGAATTAAGATATTTAACTTACTGGAATAAAGTTAGCGTTGATGTAATCTTCGCCATGAGGATCCGTTAAAACTACCCTTGAGTGATCATCTGTATGTGATAAAACATTTTTTTTTCAATATATTTTGGCAAAACAACATTAATAAAGATATCAATGAAATGATTTTTTTTTCAAAATTTTCCATAGAAATTTTGCAGTCATCTTTTCTTTTTTCCAAAAGTGCAATTTTCATTTTTATTGTTTCTGATGACAGTACAATTCAAATGATTATTTTTTCACTTTTAAACTATCTATTTGAAGAAAAATGTTGCGCAAAAAAAAACCAGTAGAAAAGTAAGTATTGTATTTTAAATAGGACTCATTCGTCATATTTATGACGTCAGGTGTCGCTGGTGTACTAGAGGTGGTTACGTAAACGCTTTAATCACCGCGGCGCTTGTAACAATGTAAACAAATGGACGTGTTCTCGAACTTGGAGCTAAACCATGCCAAACGGAGGGGCTGAATCGATCTTTAATCGAGTTGTCACAACCGGGAGAAAGGTTTATCCGAATATTAGGTACTTATTTTTTGTAAATAATATACATTTATGGAAACTTTCTAAGAATTATCGAGTGTAACATGCCTATATGACGAAGATAGTACAACGACGAAGCATTGAGTTTACAATCGACATTTTTGTAGATTGTCGGATGTATTATCATCTTAACCACTTACACAAACACTATATTCAAATGAAATTAATATATGATATGAATGTTTATAGCTATATTTTGTTATTTATTCCTTTTTACGTGACAATCATCGCACAGCTAGGTTGTGTACATGTAGGTCTACACTGGTTACAATTACTGTTCAGTCTAGCTGTTGCATTTCGTCGTTGTTTAAAAGAGCAACGTCCCAAATGATCATCAAGGGTTATAAAGTGCAACATTATATTCATTGCAAGGCAAATACAAACTAAACTTTCATTTTATTTGAACAGATTACAAAAAAAATCATAATAAACAAAACTGCATGGAACAAACACAAACATCATATTTCAACCCTCACCAAAAGACTCTCCAGATCCTACACAGAGATACATTAAATCATAAATGGCCATTCATTGATACTGGATAAAGATAACTGATTTCTGATCAGCCTATTATTGTTTGTTTTGTTTTTTTAAATTAAAAAAAATTGAGATTTATAGGTGTTGGCACAAAAAAGATCCATCACTGCTCAATAGCCCACAGTGCCGAGAATAAGTATATTTGCAGTCCGCCATCAGCAAATGATGGTGTCTCCATATGAGTAAAAATTCTTAAAAGGGACATTAGACAATTTTTGTATGTTGCAACAAACACACACAGATTTAATATGAGCCCTTATACTTTATAGTGCATATGAATAATTTGAAATTTATTTGTTCTGTACATATTTTTTTTCATAGTCAGTAGCTACATGTATACTTAGTAAATATAATCCAGTCTCATAATCATGCACTTTCATAATATCTTAAAATATATATCACATCATAATGCACACTCTTAGTAACTCTATATGCATCTTCATTTCTCATTACATCTCATTACATTTCTCAATACTTACTAAGTTCTTCTCTACAGGAGTCTTTGTTTCGAAAACAATTCACAAATGGCGCACACGAGAAAAATAATCTCAATGACCAATGATGACCAAGTTTTGACATTAATTCAAAAACTTCTCTTTCAAAACCAATATCATATTCTAAATGGAAATAATGTGAAATATAAGTTACAATATTTTCATTACTATGGAATTACACAAAACCTATAATACCTAGTTGCATTATTTGGAGAGTATACAGATTAAAAAAATATTCATTGCATAACATCTTTGCAATGACACTGAACGTAATCCGCAGTGGTCAAGTGGTTAACGCAGAGCTCCTTGAACAACAAATCATGACAATCCCGGTTTAAATCTCAGCCGTGGTAAAAACTTTTTTTTTTCTATATATATATATATACATAAAAGAATGGGTGGACTTAACGCCCTATTTTGAATCTTTTGTGACTCCTCTTACAATCTGTAAATGAAGTTAATCCAAAATAAATTATGTGCAATTGAAAGAGCAACATATACTTGGTTATATTAGGTGGAACATTTGTGCAAAAACAATGCCCTGTTGACGTGTATCAAAATTGAAGCAACGATACATGAGTGTCGTCTTCCGGAATTCGACATATACCCGGAGTGGTTTTTATGTCACACAATCAATATTTATAGGAGGCGGGGCTATCGATCGGTGTCATTGTTGACATCTCTCTCTATCCCTCTCTCTTTCCAAACATTCAAATACCTGTTTAGCATTTTACAGCGATGTCAATATGAAATTATTTTAAAAATGTGATGACACGCAAAATTAAAACAATAACTAATTTGCTAAACTCCAAAAACGGCAACAAAACACGCTCAAAGACATGATTTAGATCAAGGTCAGGTTGAAGAATACAATGTAACTGTTTTCACGAGTACACTCGCAGGTGGACATCACGTGACGAATTGTAATATTTAACAGGTCAATCGAAGACATTTCAATGGAAGCGAGAAGTTTGTTTTGAACATGTTTTTTGTTAAATTAAATATGAGCACACTTTTGTCGGCTCTTCTCCTTTAAATATAACATTATTTTGTTCAATATACAACTACAGTTTTCTTAAGAACAGCCGACAAACATGTACTGACTATGTATTCAGACGATGATAAACGCGTGACCCTGATTATCTATTGATATTCAAGAAATCTTCAGGCACCATGCTTTCGATATTTATTTAGTTTACATCGAAAAGAGTGTTTTAAATTCACATCCGTACTGTGAATATACAGTTAAGATATCGGGGGTTTATATGATGGGAAAAAATATACATTTTACAAAACTTAAATTTACGGCATTTGTTCTGGCCAGTTAAGTCCACCCATTCTTTGTTTTAAAATATACAACTCTTACACAAGTACAAAAATTGACATTGAAAAGAATTTACTTTATGTGTAGGTAAAATAGCGGGCTTTATATTTTGGCTGCTTTTGCGCAAAAGAGGATGTGCTAATTTCATTAATACCACTAAGAATTCATTTATAAATAGAATATACGACACAAATATTTGTAGCGCTAATTCACGACTATGCCAACAACTCCATATCCATTGATTGCGCTAAATTTTGAAAACGCCAAATTATGTACATGTACAGTATCTTTCCAAAGCTTGAACTTTTCTCTGTTAAGGATTTTGCTTATTTTATTCATGGCTGTAAATAAATAAAACAATAAAGATTGTATTAAATATTTATGCATGTTTATTCCTTTCGTACTTAAATTTGAGCATGCAGGTACAATGTTCTTGGAAACCAATGTTCGTGGATTAGAGAGTCTCTCTTGATCATGGATTTTGTTAACATATTGATTGAATCTACATTATCAATGAGTTATAATCCACAAAATTACATACCCATGAACGATTTTTCTTGTCCATGAACATTGAACCTCACAAATTAACATGAATATAAAGATTCCACACTGACAGAATTCATAATACATGTACAATCATTTTTAATTCTTTTTCAAAGCAAGCAAAAAGATTTTTTTTAATTATTCTAAAAATTAAACATGTGTCAAAAATTCTTAAAACTTTGTACTTGTGTTCTAAAATTTAAAAAATAATAGTTGTACATCTTCTATTTCTAAGCACATCTCACTTAATAGCCTAATCATGCTAATAGCTTCTACAATATGTACCAATATGAGAAAGATTAACAGCTTAAATGCTTGCACTGAATTTTTTATCTCTTTGTTAAAGAATATGGCTGATCTTAAAGAAACGTCACAGGGACTGCTAGTTATCAGGAATACTGGTCTAAACTTTAGTTCACATCTCTTGAGGAACAGCTCAGTCTTTGTACCTTCTTCTTATCTTGACTGCAGCCACGGAGCTGTAGGACTTGTATTGCTGGAGTTTTAAAGTCCAAAACCGGATGACAAGTTTACTGCATCCTTATTTAGTCTACTTTTATCTCCTGACAAGGAACTGGGCAAATATTATTTTTGTTTTGTAATTGTACTGTGTTAAAGTAGAATATTATATAAAATAATCAATATTTATCAATAAATAAAAAGGAAAACCAAAGACCCTACTCATACTAAAAAAGCAGGGGAAAATATCTCATTATTTCTGGTAATGAAATTTAAAATGTATAATAAAATTTAACATTGAATTTTGATATCAAATTATAAATTACAGTACTTATTCTATTTGCTAACAAAATAAGTTATTCTATGGGCACATAAGCACATCATACACTCTATTTGTACATTTTTTTTAAAGAAAACTGCCACTGTACATTAAATTCATCAGATTTAATCCTATTACATTTACCAGTGCTGCGTCTGTCTGTTAAACAACAAAATCACAAAGCAACAAAAGCTTTAGACATTTTAATAAGATTTCAAACTTTTGAAATAATATATGAAATAATATTGCCATGTGTCAAGCTATTAAGACACTATTAATATAAATAAATCAAATGTCTTTTGACGAAAAAAAAATAATAAAAAGGGTGTGCAATTTTTTTCAATTTAACGACAAAGTTAAAAAGTCACCAAGTCAATATGTTTTATACTGAATATAGTAACTCATTTTCCCGGTTAAATCTATATGATTTAATGACACATACTTCGTAAGATACTAATTAAAATTAATCAAAATCAATATTTTGCCAAAAATCTAATTCTTAATATTGCCGACTCTGAAATTCTGGTGACAAGCGACATCGTGTTTACCTGAAGCTTCCATAATCAGTTGATCATCTTCATGACCGATTTAGCGTCACTTTTCGTCTGAAGATCTGAAAATAATGAGTGTCCGCAACCTCTACAACATCCTGGCACAACACAGAGAGTTGACATTCGTTACAAATTAATTAATATGGAGGTATATGTCCAGGAGAAATCACAGTGTCTCGCAACGCTACCATTTGTTTACACACAGTCAAGCGCTTGACAAATCAAAACGTTTGCGTAACCACCTCTAATACCGCAGCGCCACCCGACGGTTAATGACGTGAATGCATACTATTAAAGACCAATTCTTTCTCTAAACATTTTTTTTATGTTAAAAAAATATACATCAAAATACATACAAGGTAGTGTGTTTTTAAATCTGTTTTTCAAAATATTTTTCTCCAAAGTTCCAACACTGCAACGGTTAATATCTCCTTCTGGTAAAGCCTTTAATAAAACAAGAAAATGTTAATTCTAAATTTACTGCAAATTTTATATTTTAATAAATACGAGATATGGACAGAACAAGTGATAAATAAAAGCATTTTCACATTAACATATCTATTTTGCTTTCTGAAAAAAATGCACTTTAAAGTACATAAAAAAAAACCGCACATTAAGATGTTTCTAAATCAAATGCGTAAAACATCTTAAAATAATTCTGCCTAAAAAGAAAATGAAAACAATGGGTTTTTGTTGATAACTTAATCTGAGATCAGTAATGTCTAAATTCATAGCTTCGAGACATAGGATATGCAAATAGTTCATTTTAACATCGTTTTATTTAGACTTCCTGGGCGTGACTTCCATGGAATGCACGTTTAATTTTCTACTAATGGATAACATTTTACAGTGTTGAATTCTTAACCTTCTATATTGAACTTCTATTCACAAAAAGCTTCAAACGATGTCCTGTTACTAATCCTCTTTGTCGTTAAATTATGCAATTTAAGCGTACCGGGATTAAAATTATTTCCTTACTCTTGTTAGACAAAGTATTTTTATATGACAAATCAAAAAAAACTTCCCTAATACAAATATATATTTCTTTTATGTCATAATCTTCACTTAAAAATTTATTTATTGCAAATAACTTAAAAGCATCTTTTGATATTCATTCCCGATTAGAATTTCATAAGAACTACAAACAACATAAAATTTAATTTTAATACTTTATTTACGCATCGTTAACGCCCATTTAAATAAAAAGAGACGATCCTTGGAACAGATAAAAGGAAAGCAATAAAAAACATACTTTAAATTCAGCCTTAAAGCCTTCATCTGTATTTTCGTGCTTCCTTAATATGTAATCATGCAGCTCTTTCACGGGAATGTCCCCTAAATTTTCACTTATAAGCTCGATTTCTTGTAGGTTATCTCCTGTTTCTATCTCACTCTCAGTTTCTTCTTGCTCCGATTCTTCTTGCTGCTCTGAGTTGACGACATAACTAACATTGTAATAAACGTTTGCCTGATCCCCTGAAACATAGCATTAAATGATTGTACATGCATCTATATTGATGTCTTTTTTATCTAACTAATACACACTATTTGAAATTTTTTTAAGAGTAAATATATAATGAATTGATTAAACAAAAGTCGCAGAAATGGATAATTTCTTATCTCCATGAGATTTTTTAGACCCAAAAGTAGTATCATTTTGATTTAGTTGTTGTTTATCATTACATTGATATAGAGATCATTGTGGCACTTGTTAGTCACGGTTAGATTTGAGTTATATATCTTGATTTGATTTATTCTTATAATAGACACTTATGTTGATTTTGTTCTTATAATAGACACTTATGTTGATTTTTTTTATTTATAAATATTCGTTTTTGTTTTTGTTTTGTGGTCGTTATTTGCAAAGCGTGTCTTGTCTCAAACTGATGATAAATATTCTTAAAATTTATTTTGTCTTCGTAAAATATTGCTTACATGTTAAACACACACGATAAACCGTCACTTTTTTTCACTATAAATGCTAAAAGGTTAACAAACTAGTAGTTGCTGTTAATGTCAAGATATATTCTACGGAAATGTTACGGTCAAGTGATATGTTTGCTATACAATAATTCAATTTAAGAACAAAAGGAAAGTAAATAAACATGAGTAAAATATTTCACTTCCTTGATAATAAAGCTGATAAATGTAAGTGAAGAGTCTTTTGCGTTGTACCTTTTCCATCCTGGTCAATTTCATCTAAGTAATAATTAACTTTTCTTTCTGATGTCGGGGTGATCTGTGCCTGTAGTCCGATAGCATCTTCTGTCTTTGTATCGAGTCTTCTTTTCCTTAAAAATACATTTGTAATAAAAAAAAAAATCGCGAAAGCGTGTGGTGCAGGCTGATACAAGTAGGAATTTAAATTTAAAAAGAATCTATTGAGGATAAAAAAAGTATATTACACAAAAGGAAGTTTCAATACATATACAAAGAGTTTAAATATAAGAGTTATAAAACTAACCATAGGATAGTAAAGGCCCGTGATTCACCGATAAAAAAATGTTTCATTAACAAATTATAAAACCTCAGAGTATGCATATATTTTTA